ACAAAAATGTGGAAGCTAATTATGTTAATGACACAACTCCACCTCTGCCAAAATTTGACGTGTCCGACTTCTTCGTGGATGATGCTATTATGGACGATGCCTTTGCCATTAATCAAAATGCTACAAAATAAAATATTAGACTCCTGATATTGTAAAATACTAGTTTTATGTACTTTTTCTCTCTTCCCCTTTTTATCCCGTTTTTAAATAAATGTGTACTCTCATGTTAAATAATATGCATAATTTGTGGTCAAGCTTATGTTTATTTACATATATTGAAGATATGGATCACCCAAGTGATAAAAAGCTATGTCTGATAGACAGCGCCACAACGCACACCATTTTGAGAAATAAAATATATTTTTCTCAAATGACTTTAGTTGAGGCTAAAGTCAATACAATATCAGGTGTTGCGAAGCTCATTGAAGGCTCTCGGAAAACATATGTGATGCTCCCTAATGGGACGAAATTACTTATAAATGACGCTTTATACTCCAGCAAATCGCGGAGAAATTTATTAAGCTTTAAAGATATGCGTCAAAATGGTTATCACATAGAAACCATGAATGAAAACCAAAAGGAATATCTTTGTCTAACGACAATTAAATCTGGCACTAAATATATTTGTGAAAAAATGCCAGCTTATTCCTCAGGACTATATTTCACATATATTAGTCCATTCGAAATAAATTTGGTTTCTAACACAAAGTTAGATGATCAGAAAACATTCATGTTATGACATGACCGTTTAGGTCACCCAGGCCAAGTAATGATGCATAAAATCATCAAGACTTCACTTGGACACCCATTAAAGAATATCAGGGTTCCATTATCAAGTGATTTTCCTTGTAAGGCCTGTTCTCTTGGCAAAATGATCATCAGGTCCTCTATGAACAAAATTGCAACTGAATCACCTGCATTTTTAGAAAGGATTCAAGGAGATATTTGTGGGCCGATAGCCCCACCATGTGGACCATTTCGATATTTTATGGTGTTGATTGATGCTTCAACACATTGGTCACATGTTAGTCTTTTATCGACTAGAAATTTAGCATTTGCTAAACTCCTCGCTCAAATTATACGATTAAGAGCTCATTTTCCGGATCATTCTATAAAGAGAATCCGACTTGATAATGCAGGAGAATTTACTTCCCAATCATTTAACGACTATTGTATGTCGATTGGGATTGAGGTGGAGCACCCTGTTGCTCATGTCCATATACAAAATGGTCTTGCTGAATCTTTGATTAAACGATGACAAATAATCGCTAGACCATTATTAATGAAGTGTAATTTACCTTCATCAGCTTGGGGACATGCTATTTTGCATGCAACAAATTTAATTCGGCTTAGACCGACTGCATATCATGAATATTCCCCAATGCAATTAGATACTGGACAAGAGCCAAACTTAGCACACATAAAAATATTTGGTTGTGCTGTTTATGTTCCGATTGCTCCACCTCATCGTACAAAAATGGGTCCTCAAAGAAGGTTGGGAATTTATGTTGGATTTGAATCTCCCTCAATAATCAAATATCTTGAACCGATGACTGGTGACCTATTCACCGCACGGTTCGCTGACTGTCATTTCAATGAGACAGTATTCCCAACCTTAGGGGGAGAAACTAATAAATCGGACCCAAGTACGAAAGAAATAACATGGAATGCAACAAGATTATCACACCTTGATTCTAGATCAAATATATGTGAGCAAGAGGTGCAAAAGATAATCCATTTACAAAATGTTGCAAATCAGTTGCCTGATGCATTCACAGATACAAAGAAAGTGACAAAGTCACATATTCCTGCTATGAATGCTCCTGCCAGAATCGAAATTCCTGCAGAGAATTTTGAAAAATATCTTGCAAATGATTCTTCTATACGCAAAAAGCGTGGCAGGCCACTTGGATCAAAAGACATAAAACCAAGAAAATCTAAAAGGTAGGAATTGATCTGTGATGCCAAAGATGTTCATCCTTCTGAACAAGAAAATGAACAATTTGAAAATACCGGCATAGAAAAAGATATTGACAAAACAAACATCTCAAATAACGATCCAACTTCCTCAAATGAGGAAGATATTCCAGATACTGATGGAAACGTTGATAATTATGAAATTTCAATAAACTACGTTTCTACTGGAATGCAATGGAATCGAAAAGATATTGATATTAATGAGATATTTGTCTATGCCGTTGCCACAAATGTAATGAATGAAAACAATGACAAAGAGCCAACATCAATAGAAGAATGTCAGAAACGACACGATTGGCCAAAATGGAATGAAGCTATTCAGGCTGAATTAAAATCACTTGAAAAACGTGATGTTTTTGGACCGATAGTCCCTACGCCAAAAGGCGTAAAACCTGTGGGTTTTAAATGGGTATTTGTGCGTAAACGCAATGAGAAAAATGAAATTGTTAGATATAAAGCCCGACTTGTTGCCCAAGGTTTTTCTCAAATGCCGGGAATCGATTATGAAGAAACCTATTCTCCAGTAGTTGATGCAACTACATTAAGGTTTCTCATTAGCATGTCTGTTTTTGAAAGGCTGCAAATGCGCCTAATGGATGTAGTGACTGCATATTTATACGGTTCACTCGATACAGACATTTATATGAAAGTTCCCGGAGGATTTAAAATGCCTGAAGCTTATAGCTCGAAATCTCGAGACATGTTTTCCATTAAATTACAAAAGGGATATTACTTGAAATAGGACTAAAAGAGTTTGAAAAATCCAAAATAGGACTGCCATGTTTTTATTCCCAAAATAGGACTAATTACTGTCATGAGAAAAATGAAATTGGCAGTATTTTCCAAACTTGGCAGTAATTACTCCTATTTTGGGAATAAAAACATGATAGTCCTATTTTGGAATTTTCAAACTTTTTTAGTCCTATTTTGGGAACTTTCCCATTACAAAAGTCATTGTATGGACTAAAACAATCTGGACGAATGTGGTATAATCGTCTCAGTGAATACCTTCTCAAAGAAGGATATAAGAATGATCCGATTAGTCCATGTGTTTTCATTCGGCGATCAAATTCGGGATTCGCCATAATTGCAGTATATGTTGATGATTTAAACATTATTGGAACTCCCGATGAAATTGAAAATACTGCAAAATATCTTATGAAAGAATTTGAAATGAAAGATCTCGGGAGAACCAAATTTTGTCTCGGACTTCAAATTGAGCATTTGAAGAATGGAATTTTCATCCACCAATCCAATTACATTGAGAAAGTGTTGAAGAGATTCTATATGGACAAAGCTCATCCTTTGACTTCACCAATGGTCATTCGATCTCTCAACATACACGATGATCCATTTCGTCCCCGAGAAGACGACGAAGAAATACTCGGTCCCGAAGTACCATATCTGAGTGTTACTGGAGCATTAATGTATGTAGCTAATAATACTAGACCAGATATTGCATTTTCTGTAAATTTATTAGTTAGGTACAGCTCATGCCCAACAAGACGTCATTGGAACGGGATCAAGCACATATTCCGTTATCTCCGTGGTACAACTGATCTCGGCCTATTCTACCACAAAGATGAAAAGGCCGCTTTAGTCGGATATGCAGACGCTGGATATTTATCTGATCCTCAAAAGGCGAAATCACAAACCGGGTACGTATTTACTTATGGTAACACCGCAATCTCATGGAGATCTATGAAGCAGACATTGACAGCTACATCATCAAATCATTCTGAATTAATTGCACTGTATGAAACCGGGAGAGAATGTGTGTGGCTGCGATCTATGATTCAACACATCCAAGATGAATGTAGTATGAAAGCTATTAGTTGTCACCCGACTGTGATCTACGAAGACAACACCGCATGCATAGCTCAAATTAAAGAAGGCTACATCAAAGGAGATAGAACAAAGCACATATCTCCGAAGTTTTTCTCTACTCATGACCTTGAGAAAGAAGGGACGATCAACATTCAACAAATCAGATCCAGTGAAAATCAACATTCACCAAATCATTACCCCCGAAGAAGTTCATGGAACTTGTACAAAAAATCGGCATGCGCCGCCTTCGTAATTTATGCTAAATTCAGGGGGAGTATTTGAATGCACTGCACTCCTTTTCCCTTCATCAGGTTTTTATCCCACTGGGTCTTTCCTAATAAGGTTTTTAACGAGACAGTACATCTAAATACAACGACATTATAAGTCGTAATCTTTACCCCTTAATTTTCACAATAAGTTTTTAAAATAACAAATACATATTCAAGGATGAACATTCAAGGGGGAGTGTTGTAAAATCCTGGGAATGACAAGTGTGAATTGTTCATCCTTGTCATCATCCTTGTAACCAGGACACTACGCTTCTTTCCATCCTTGTAATCATAGATAAACAGATGACTAGGTTTAATAGTGTCAGCAAAATATGTAGAAGTAGTCTTTAATGACTCATCATCAAGCCCAGCTAGTATAAATATGGCTTGATCAATCCTTTGTAATCCAATTCACAAAATTCAGGGACTCAGAAATTCAGAAATGATCATATATTAAGAATAAATAATTTAGAGCTTTTATTATTATATATCTATCTCTTTAATCTGTTCTGCATCTTCTTCATTTCACAACAAATGACACATATTACAGAAACAGTAATCAAAGAATGCGTTTTATAGAAATTTAAAACAAATTGTGACATACGGAGTATTTATAGGGACTAAAAGTATACGTAGTACGTAGTATTTAAATCTAATTTTAATTTCGGCATACTAGCAAAAAGTTGGAAATGGCCACGTTGGTTCATAGATTAACGGCGGTCCTACGCCGGACCCGTCAGATCCGTTTCGTCTTGTCCCGCGTTTGCGTGTCTCTCTCCGCTTGCTTGGCGCGTTCTCTGTCCATACCGTATACGGAGTATGTACTAAAAAATCTTTTCCCGTATTTATACTGTATGTACGGAATATAATACTCCGTAATACAGATATATACCGACATAGAAGTACATCCTCAGTATGTTCGTACAGCTGGTAGTGAGAGAAAGCTGCGAAGACTAACCATGGAAACGCAGCGCTCGAATTTCAAAGAGCTTAGTGTTCCTTCTCCGACCACATCAAAAAGCCCCTCATCTTCTTCCTCTAAGGTCTCTCTATATCTATTCATTTTTTATTAGTTTTTATATCTTAAAGCATTATGGCTAAGTCTATTGATCTTTTCCCCATTTTCATTATCAGTTACAATGCTTCTCGTTTTGTGCTTTGTGGCAGACTAAGAGGAAGATGCCATTGCAGAGTAAGAGGAAGCTTGTTTCTAAGAAGCCTGAAAAGTTCAAATCTGAGGCTAAACAAGTAAAAAATTTAGTTTCATTACATATTTTTTTTGCGTTAAGGATATAAACCTATCCAGTATTTGTTGATTTAGGTTTAAGGAGTGTTGACATGAGTTATTCGGTTACAAATGTTTGTTTCGTTTATAGTTGTTCATCTTTCTCATGAGTCGTGGTAGTGAGAAATCTTAGGAGTGACCAACATTAAGACTCATGTGAGACAACATTTGAAGCCCTAATTTTGTGATTGTTATTATTTTTCATGAAAGTGAAGTTGAATGGTTTCATCTTCATACTATTGTTATTTTGTTTATAAATCTATCAGAAATTGTCCTTAATAGGATTAATAATGTTTTTAGTTGAATTGATTTCAGACCTAGATTACTTAAACAGACTAGACCAGACTAACCTTAAACAGATCAGACTGGACTTCCATAATTATAAAATATACAGAGATCAAACATTTTCCAGAGCAGACCAGTTCGGACTAGCGCAAACCATTTCGGTCCGAGTAAACACATCCTAAATACAACTTGATTTTCCAAAGTTGGAGTAACATATATTTCCGCTAAATAGAAGTCTTTTAATACTGCCAAATTAATGTCTGAATCTCTGATCATGCCAAATAATGGCGGTATAATTTCAGGATGTCAATAATTCACACATATTTATGGAAAAAACATAGTACTCCTACTTAGGAAAACCACGTTAAATTTCCCATAACATATTTTTCATTGTTCTTTGGCTGAAATCCTTGTTAAGTTTTTTTTGTATTGATTCAGAATAAGTATCGTTTTCGAAAAAATATCAAATACTATGGAGCTGTTTGATGGAGAAAAGCTTTACTATGTCATAGAAAGATATTGTGAAATAGGGTCTTGGTCATATAAAAGACACATACATTGTGAATAGGTGGAAGTAATAATCAAGACATCTTAGGGACACTTTGGATGGAGGGTTTTGTAGGGAAGACTAAGGAGAATGTATTTTAAGTGTATGGAAACTCTTCCACCCTTTTCTGGTGATTGAAATGAAGAGATATAAATTGTAATTTATAAATTAGTTGGTTTGACCATTTCAAGGTAGTGTGTGCTACTATATTTTTTTCGAATGACAATAAACTATTTGTATTGCTGAACAGGTAAAATCTAATAATCCCAGAAAGCCAAAGAGGTGAGTGGTTAATTAATATTCAAACTTAGGCTCCATTTCAGCCAAACAGAGCCTTACCCCCCCATTCCTTGCCATCTTCCTCACACCTCTATTGAACTTCCCAACTTGCTCTCATCACATTTTCAGCGTCAAACGAAAAAGGGCGACTACTGGTGATGTCTATGATGATGATGTAGAAGCTAAGTTCTCTGTTTTGGAGCGGGCAGAGAGGGTGATGTCTAGACTTTCTGATGAATTTCCCATATTTCTAAAATGCATGCTCCCCTCAAATGTTGCTCATGGATTTTGGCTGGTAATCTTTTCTTTATAATGTTTTTATCTCCAATTCAAGAAAGTGGCATATCAATTTAGAGTAGAGTAGAGAGAAATACTTTATGTTCTAGCAATTTCTTTTGACATTTTCTCTGCAATGGGCAGCATCTTCCGAAGGCATTCACAGACATATATTTACCAAGTCATGACACCAATATTACATTGGTTGATGAATGGGGAAATGAGTACAAGACCTCTTATCTAATGGAAAGGCATGGACTAAGCGCTGGTTGGAGAGCCTTCTCAATTTCTCATAGATTGCTCAAAGGAGATCTCTTGATCTTTTGCTTGATTGAGCCATGCAAACTTAAGGTAATTTTTCAGAAAGAAAAAAACACATTTCTTCCATGTATTTCTGTAAAAAACAAACAAAATGTCCCTGCGGTTCAAATTAATTTACTAGCCAAATATTGTAAAAGCTGCTAAAGTAAAAAATACAACTTAATAGACAGTATTTTAGATAATATTTAAACTGACTGTCAAAGCAGATCAAGACTACGTGTTTTTAGTCTTAGTAAATAGTTCACAAAAATGGCCCTCAGAAGGAAATCTCTATTGTGTGAGCTTTTCTCTTAAATTTTGAACAAGAAAGAGATTTCTTCTTGACTATAGTCCAGAAATATGTCATTTCCGTAGTATATAAGAATGGCCTGTCACCTTAAAAGGTAAACCTAATAGGAGTAGTCCAATGTCTATAGTATAAATGTGTTTTGTATTTGGCAAGTGTGGTAATGGCTTAAGATGCCCGTAATATGGCTTCTCATTGGAGCAATACTAATGTTCAAATTGTTGTGCTCTTTTGAGTCTTAATCAGGTTGATTGCTCTTTTGAGCTGAATCTGCTTTCATCCCATATTACATTATAGGCTTCTATCTTAAAAGATCATTCTAATAGGATGAGTAGACCGAGGCTTATTTTTTTGTTACAATTGGACCAACACTTTATATGTGAATTAGTGTTTTTGTATTTAATGATATCATTTAGCACAATAGTGTCATGTTAATTAGATTTCCTAATAACTATTTTTGGATAAAACATATAGCATTGTGAATTATGTGGTTGTTAAGAGAGTTCCGTTTTTTCCAGGTAGATATAGTAAGGGTAAATGGCCCCGATGTTGTAGATGCAGCTCTTTGCCTCTTGAACTTGGATGGTTGTGAGAAAATAGCCGATCAAGGTAATAAAGTAGTTATATATTTCTAGATAAAAAAGAAACATAATATGAAATGATCTCTTGAGTTTGTTGATATCAGTGTTTATTATTTTTATGTTTCATGTTGAATGAATATGACAAAGACCATTCACGGAAAGATAAACGTAAAAAGACAATGAAATTCATAGAGCCATATATCCACGATGATGTTTGTAAGCCTGAGGAACGCCATGTTGAAGATGGTGTGGGTCAAGTTGAACATTATACTGCAAAAGATTGGGTTTCAGAAGTAGTTTTTGATGGTATTACCACCAACCACCAGCTACAATGCAAAGAGCTCGGAGACTCCAGAACGCTTTTGTGTGCGTGATGTGTGTGTAGATAGACTGCTGGTGAAAAGGGTTGGAGTTTATTAGAGATTGAGAGCTCACACACTCAATCCATGTTCCAAGAGGATATAAGTTTTTGTATAATTATTATAAACACTTCGGAGGGGTGAGCATTGATGGTGTCGATTCCGTTGATCCCCTTATACCTGAAGTCATTTTGATTTTGGAACAGTATTTCATTTTTGGGGTTCTCTACGAGTAGGGAGGGGAGTAAAGAATATTTCACCCTTGACCCTCCCAGCTGAGATGAAATATTATCTGCCTTGACCTGTATACATATGAAATGTCAAGAAAATCTCAGTGATGTTCAACACTGTATGCTATTCTAAGGCTATTCTAGACATGCAATTCCTACTGCACAGTTTTTTGCTCATAATATGATTTTTTGGCATTAATATGACTAGATTAGAGTACAGCTAAAGATAAAAGTATAACTACTAAAAATTTCAAAAATATAAGTCATTACGTGTCAGTTGTCACTTGATATCTGCTCTACGTTTTTATTCTTTCAAAGAAAACATGCAAAAATATGTAATCCAAATCTATGCGCCACTTTGACCGTTGCCAATTGTTTATCGTCATCTTTCTATGAAATTCCCGGCAATGTGGGTCTTAGAGGTTGGGATGTTGATGAGAGGAGAAGAGTTTGGGATTCATTTGTGATTATTTAGTTACTTTTGTAGAAATATTTAACCGTAGCTGTATTTGTATCAATTTTCTTATTCTCCAATTCCATAATACAAGTATGTTCAAACATTAGAATTTGATTCCATTGAGTACAGTTTTTTATCTTCCAAGTAACAGTTTTAATTCCCAAAGGAATTGTCAAGTTATTGTATGTCAAGGTGGATCAGTGGGTGAGTGCGTTGTAAACAATTAACAATGTGCTATCGAGAGAAAACTGGAAGGGAAACTGAGATATTGAGTGCAAATAATCATGTTCTCTAACTTTTTTGAAAACTGGAAGATTAGCGACCTCCTTTTTAGGAGATTAGCAATGGTCTCGATCAGAAGGTACTGATCATGTTCTTTATCTTGAAAATAAATTTCTTGTTCCCCAAGTAAAGCAACATATACAATAGGAGTAAAACAAAATTAAAGGGGAGTAAAAATATTTTTGAATTCCAATATATGAGTAATATGTATTTATTCACTAATTAAGTGTAATAACTGTCAAATTTGAAAAATATTGTCATGTTTAAAGTTTAATAATCCCAAAACATAGTGGTGCTATTTTGAAATTCATGTACATTTTTACTCTTATTTAGGACAATTTATTTGCTCCGTATTACTTTCCACCTCTTTTTCATAAATCTCAACACAGAATTTTTATATTACTATTCTAGAGTAAATCGTACATGAAAAATTTATATTCACTAAATATGAGTAGTTACTTACAACCTAGGGAAATATTGTCATTTTATGAATAAGTTTTTATATAAATTTTAGGATAAGTATTTTTACTGTTAATTAGGATAAGTTTTTTTATAAATTTTTAGCATCTTAAATTAATGCTCATAGTTAGGCAAGTGATATTCAGTACAAACAACCCAATAGAAATTCAGAATAGTATTTTCAAGACTTCAACCGAACCATTGGTAAAATAACTTATGTGAAGTTAACACTGCTACTAAAAAGTAAAAGTGAGATTGGTTTGGTTTAGGTTATGTTTTTGTTAAATCCAAAACATTACCCGCAAGTGAGATTGGTTTGGTTTAGAGATTAGAACGATTACATTTCGTCTAAGTGGATTTTTGATAGTCCGGATTTGATCCGAGTTTAAATAGGGTCAATTAAAGGCTGAATGACAAGTATCACCTTGTCCTTTTATATTTAAGCATATTTTCAAATAAAATTACTCAAAAGTATGAATCACATAAAATAACAAAAATATTAATCTCCAAAAGCACCAACAATTCAAAATCAAATAAAATGATTCATCTTAATAGTGTATTAGTCACACAAATATTACGTTTTGGATACATATAAGCAAATAATAGAGGTTTTTTCAAAAAAAAAATTACTATGTAGTATATAGTATGGTAGTAGTGGTACTAACCAAAATATGGATAAAAAAGTGTCTAAAGTTCTACAATTAATTTTCAAGGTCAGTATGATGTACAAATCGAACATGATTGTTGTCACAAAAAGTTTTTAAGTCAATTTGATCACCATGTTTATTCTAGTCATATATTCAGAATTATTTATAAATAATACTCTGTATTGGTTAATTATATTGATTGGATATTAAATGTAAATATGTAATTGCTTTGAGTTTTGACTTTCCAGATTCGGTGCAAGTATTTTTTGGATCGTCTAAGAAACAATGTGAAGTATTCGGTGCAACACTTTGAACTTCAATATGCAGTACAAATAATGTAAGATGCACACTGTGAATTTCAATATGCAATACAAATAATATGCAGTACTTTGAACTTTAATATGCAGTACAAATAATATGCAGTACTTTGAACTTTAATATGCAGTACAAATAATATAAAGATGCATAGTTTGTAACAGTTTGTAGGTTAGCATAAGAGGACTAGTTTGTATGTGATCTCACCCCTATATATATATAAATATATATATATATATATATATATATATATATATATATATATATATAGAGAGAGAGAGAGAGAGATTGGACATTTTAATGTTAAACGATGTTTTAAATCTTTTGAAGTAAACATGAGCTTACAATACCACTTATTTAATATGCCGCTTATTAACGCGAGTCTTAATAAACCGTGAAGTAAACATGTCCTAAGATTCTAGTTCAAAACAGGGACCGTGCCTCTCCATACGCATGACTTGAAGTTGAAAGACATCAAACAGGTAGGATGGACCCGATCCCATTTTGACTTCAAAACGGCCATTTTATACCAATTTTGTAAAAACCTTGCTCAATGTTGGGTCGCGCCAGGTTGCCCACCAGATTCGTACGCGGTTCATGATCTGGTTTTCAACAGTTACCATTTCATATCACTTATCAGAATTTGGGTTTCACCTCAGGCAAATAACTACCCTGTCCTGGTCTGTATTCGTGTCGAACACTCAAGCCTACTGGGCAGAATCGTTCCATTAGAACCAACTAAATTAAATGAAGAAAACAGAGTATGAAAGTAAGTAAACATAACAAGAAAAACAAAATAAAGTTCAACGTTATCATTGCTATTTGCTATTATCATTTTAGTTTTTGGTTACTCTATTGGCGCTAGAACAATGCTAGTACTTTTCTCTCAACAACTATACATGCAGGCATGCAGCTATAGAAGCGCCATTGATGGCCATTGCAACAACTTTTATTATGAATATTATTGTTATTATTGTTTTTGATGTGATTACTAATAATTAACATACTCCGGATCTGGTTTAAAATGGTGCTTTCTAGTTTACAGTTTTGCGACTTGTTGGCTGAACGAAGGGTCTATGCAAACCACAACCTGCAGTTGAAAAAATGTTTGCCCCTCCCCGTTAAACAACTAGATTGAACCAAATTTCAAAATTAAAAAAAAAAATTGAAACCTACAAGAAAAGCATCAGACATGTACATACCTTTCCAGTGCTATTACCGGAGTGGAGATGCTCAACAGCATCAGCAACAGAGTTGAGTCCCACAAATGTTTTTGGATCTATGGCAACCTTTGGCGAAAGGACAATTAACTCTTTCAATTAATGCCAAGTAGTTACGACGTTGCAAAATTTAAAATCATAGCAGTTGTTTACTAATCAGACATATACATGAAATAATTTTTTGTGGTAGATCCGTATATGCATATAGTACATAACTTACTTTTAGCTTTCCAGAGGAAAATAAATGTATCAACCTACTCAAATGCTCATGCCACAGATGAGCATATTGTACCAGGAAAAAACCAGCCTGAAAATCACAATTGCGCCCACCAATTTTATATTACTAGTAGACAATTGTATAACTCTGTAGACATGTTCATGCTCACATATATATGACTCAAATGTGACCAATCAAGATGATGTACCAAAGTTTGACTTTTAGCTAGAAGCTTTTCGCATAATCCAGGGTAATTTTGCGGTTTCCAGCCATGCTCTCCTTGATACTGAAATAAAGATTACTTTTCAGTCGGCCACAGAAAGTGACATTGATCAAAAGCAGTGAATCATATACCAGTTGGTACACAACCGGTGATCATGACGTGAAACGGTGAAAATCCAAGGACAAGAGTCCATTTGGTTAAAGGCTTAAAGCCTTTTCTAAGCTGCACGCTCATTAGCAAAAATTTCACGAAACAGACTTATTTCACTAAGCTGATCGAATCGGCTATTAATGAAAAAAGTGGAAAAGTTTTTTTTGTAGCCGGAATTAATGAAGTTAATGAAAACAACATTTTTACCTTCATTTGTTAAATAGTGCTTCTTTTAGTTTTTTGGGGAAATAGATAGTATATGATAAGCATATTCAGACATTTCATCCACAAATCTATTAGCAATTCCAGCGGCCGTTTAGATCTTACCAGAAGGTCTCTAAATGATGGACTTGTTGTGAGTCAATATGAGGTATGAAAAAATTCACTGGGGGTATCTAGGCGTAGATATTTTAAAGCAGAGGAAACTTTTAAACCTGAGAGATCATTCCAATGACAACAAGTCGCCCATACACTGCCAAAGCATTTAGGCATAAGTCAAACATTTTACCACCAACAGACTCGTAGACAATATCAACTCCTTTTGGGAACTCCTTCTTCAGAACCTGTCAGAAGTATATATAAGATATATTTTACTAAAAATTAAAAAAAAAACACAACACTTGTATTGCTCGTCTTTCTGTCAGTTCAACCATCAACAAAAATGCAAGCTTTTAATTATTTATATAGAGATAAGCTACAGACTTACAGATTTTATAGCTTCCTTCTTGTAGTCAATTACACGATCAACTCCCAAGTCTCTCAAGAGATTGGCCTTTTCACTACCTCCACAAGTTGCAACTACTGTATTTCCAGCTAACTTAGCAAGCTGCAAAGGAAATTTGTCATATGTTATGACGAGGAAAAGGGAAACCACTCTATAGTACACAAAAATATGTGTGTGTGAATCGTGAAAAGCTTCATCCTATTTGGTCTAATGTACTTCCTATTAAAGTACACCACATCGGGAATATAATATGGATTTCATAATATTTATGTCAAGGCTTTAAGATTGAGAATCATACTCTAGCTCTTATATGGTTGTTAGAGATATTAAAATTAAAATTTAAGAACTCCAACTGTACCTGCACTGCAAACTGCCCTGTCCCTCCAGCAGCAGCAGTGACAAGAACCACTTTTCCTGATTCCATTTGAGCAGCCTTTAAGTCCATTGATAACAAAAAGATTTAATGTTGTGATCAATCCAGGACATAATGTGTTAAAGCTGAAAACAAGAACACCTTTTGCAGAATGGATTCAGAGGCTAATAGTCCAATGCAATTGCAATGGACTAACAAGTTTAAGAACATCCAAATAAAGATGTACCTTTTCTAAAGAAATTGATGCCGTGAGTCCAGATGTAAGCATTGCAATTACTTCCGGATCTGGCCTCGGAATTGGAAGAATGTGTTTGGCATTAACCTAAATAAAGTCGATGAGACTTACTCCAACAACATAAACAATTTGACAAATTTGCACACAATCACACACACACAGATTCATTTTTTAGTGGGGTACCATGACGAATTCAGCATAGCCACCAAATGTCATAATGGCAGCCGGAGTGCCAACCTTCAAGTTAGTCACTGAATCACCAACCGCAGCAACTATGCCTACAGCCTGCAAAGATTGAGCCAACAAGATATTTTAAAGGCCAAGTAACTGTGATAAAGCTCAGTCAGCTAAAAGCAGTTCTAAGTGTCAGAAATTAAATTATGTTACATGCAGGTACAAAGAATCAAACATGAACTAGGATCAAAAGTATAAGCTCTAAGTGATCTAAAGAGCCAAATGCTAAATATGGAATCTCCACTGCACCTCAAATCCAGCATCAAAGGGAAGGCGGGAAGCAAGATCTTTATCCCCACTGAAGTAACGACCAGAGCTAAAATTGACCTGTTTCAAAATGCATAGGATGCCAATAAACTGACCGTTATGCAAAAAGTCGAAAACTATATAAAACTTGTGAAGTTGAGATTATGTGAAAACGAGAGAAATAATACGGAGTATAAATCACATACTGCTTACCTTAAAACAAAATGGGTGATAATTTTGGACAGAAGTTCAAGGAAAGTGTGAAGAATTTATTATAAAAGAGGGATTACATTAAATATATATGATAGAACATACATCACTAGCATTGACACCAGCATATACAACTTTGAAAAGGACGTGATCTGGTTTGAGGGGCAACTTCAATTGAACTCGCACAATTCTGGTAGCACTTCGAAAATTGTGACTCAGGGTATGAACAACTCTATAGAAGAAAAATTAGAAGAAAGTAAGTTGTTGGTAAAGAACAGGCTGGCCAAACCAGATGAGTACGAAGGCAATGGGGGAACCGTTTACATCTTCTCAAAGTTTTGTGGAATTTGAAATTTCGGCATGACAAAAGTTGAAGATATTCTCTTCAATTTCGAAGAATGCACAATATATTTTGCTTCTTCAGCTGGAGTTGGCCAATACTCCATTCCTCTACGTTTGGAAATCCACAGACATGACCCTGCCTTGTTCTCATTTGTGATAAGTTCAAAGGCACCTGAAAATTTACAATTTAAACATCAAAACTAGAAGAACATCAATCCACTTCAAAACAAAATGAGACTCCAAAGCTTTGTTGTTGTCATAGAGCACCCTTTCTCCAGTTTGTGAGAAAATGTGAGGGCTGACGTGTTTGTTAGAGTACAAACCTTTCACCACCATATCCATTGGAATATACCCTCCTGTTTGATTAATAAAGTCTTGATTCACCTTTGAAGCAAGGTCTGTTTGAACAAACTGTGAATGAACAGAAAGAGAAGAAAAACTTGTGTTAAACTTGGAAGTCACATAATCACATTGTATTCCATATTATAATCATACTAGTACTACTCATTCGCAATGGAGCCAAAGATTCATTATTTTTTGGCTTGAGAATATGATGGAATAAAGCAAAATGGCTCACTAAACTGTCTGCGCTTCTTTGCTATGAAGCAACAGTCAGTCCATGCAATTTTGGACGCGATTTTCATTATGGGTCATCCGGAAACAATCTCTCTGTGCTTTAGTACAGGGGTAAGACTGCGTACATCCGACCCCCCCTTACCCCACCGTAGGTGGGAGCCTTTGCGGCACTGGGGTAAATGAAAATGATGAATGATGAAATGACTAGTACTACTCATTTCTTTATCATCTAAGCAGTTTCATTAGATTTGTTACTCTCTAGTCTCTACAAACAGGAATACTTGGCACATTTCTAATTATATACTAGAACATCTGGTATAAAATATGACCATCCTAGAAAATTTGAGGAGTTGATATTTTACCTCAGGGCAAAGAACATTCACTCGTATTCCTTGACGCTTGTATGGAGCCAGTGATCTAGTGAACATAACAACACCTCCTACAATTTTTTAAACAGTTTGGCATAAAGAAGGATGAGGAAATGTGAAAAGGACAAAACTAAAACACACACAAAAAAGGGCAAAGAAGGCAACATGTATGGTCTTGAAGAAGCAAACTGACCTTTTGAACCCGAATAGATAGGGTCTCCATACATAGGATACAGTCCTGAAGCAGAGCCTAAGTTTATGATCACACCCGGCTTTCCTGTTGTTTGCATGATTTGGATCTGTGTCAAATGTCTGGATTATACTTCACTGACTAATTATAACATCAAGAGTTGATGCAGCGAGGTGCAATCAATATAAAGAAATAAGTACTCAAACTCACAGCAAACTTAGTGCAATCAATAACAGCTACGAGGTTAACATTAAGTATGTGCCTCCAAGTATTGTCTCCATCAGTTTTATCTTTAGAAAAAGGCACATTACTAGCCAATCCTGCAGAGTTAATGCAGATGTCCAGTCCTCCATAAGTTTCAACGTGCTTCTGGAAAGCAGATTTTAGTTCTCTGCGCAGAATTTCAACATTTCAGAGGTGAATCACCAAATGAATTTAGATTTTTATATGTGCATTTCTGAAAGTAAATTAAAATATTAAAGAGAGACATACTGGCATAAAGCTAGCTAATAAAATTGAATTTGTTCTTCTAGCTTGATCTGTACGATGACCATTATGGTCAAATTAAGAAGCCCAATCCAATTATGAATACTATACATGGGTGACAATGAGGGAGCAGAAGAAACTCTTATTTGAATGAATGGAAGTGGACTCGTGGAGAAATGTTTTCTTTGGAAATGAGCTGATTCTAGCAAACAGAACTCACCTCTGTTAGTAACATCACATCTGATGAATGTGGCAGGCCGAATCTCCAGATCAGAATGGACCTTGGAGATCTCTTTCTCTGCCAGAGATGCTACTTCGTTTCCCTTCTCCACGGAAAAATCAAGAATGGTGAGGAGAACTCCCTTCTGTGCAAGTGCCAAACAAAGTGCTCTACCTGCATAAAACATCAAAGCTTAGATTTCTCAATGATGATAACAAATTTGAACCATTGCAATGATAATTAAAGAGAGGAGTGTCAAAATGGTACCTAAACTTGTCTCAAGTAGCATATAGAGTACATTACTTTACGTCAGACACTCCAAAGCACATTAACTTGGGTTTTTAGTGTCAATTGAGCATGTCCGTTATACAAAAGTTAAAAAAATGATGACCTGATTACAGATATAGTTAACATGGCTAAAAAAGTTCAAGTACGGTGGGGTAAATATTACTCCGTATATGTTTGACAATGGTAAAAAAGTCTGGAAGTACAAGAAGGGATACTTGAATTAATTAAACAAAGACCCTTCAGTTATGCTCATTTTCCTTCTTTCATCTTATCATCGATGATACCATTTTCAAATCACATTTTCCAGAGAACTTCATCGATGTACGGTCCAAAGTTCAAACCTTTTTGTATCTACGGTAAGCTCTTACGTCGTTTTCATTTCTCATTTCATTTTCTACTCATGTGTGTGTTTTATCTGCATTTAGGATTTTCAGTTGCCAACTGTATGGATACCATTTCTATGCCGCAGATTTGTTTGGAATTGTATCGTTTATGGAATTTATCCATGTCTTGAGGTTTTTCACTTTTTTATGATTTTCAGGAGAGATTTTGTGCAATTATTGATTGGAATTTATTTTGTGGGTAAGGCTTGGTTGTTATTGTTGTTGATTGGTTGGAATTTATTTGTTGTAGAAATTCCAAGGTTCATCGGAAGATGTAGCTTTTCCTAGAAGTGATTATGTCCAGATCCAAGAAATGTTGGATTATAATCTAGAAGAAGAGTTTAGCCTAATTCGATGAACTATAGATGATTATCCTAATAGTACTTGGGAGTTAGGATAATAAAAATAGGGAATACTGCCACCAATCTGCCCAGGACGAAGGACTACCTGATCTCCACCGTTCAGAACTAAGAACTAGAAGTCTATAAACCAAAGCTGAAAAATCATTGCAGTCCAACTGTTGGAACTCTGGTAATGGCGATTTTGTAAAGCTGGACAGATTAGGGTGAAGAAAACACATGCAGAAATAGAAAATGGCGATTGCGTGAATAATACAAGTTGATATACAATGTAGTCTGGATTGTAAGAAGAAATACGTAGTACTACTTAAATATACAATTTGATGTACTAATTTGACCTTTTTCTAAATATACACTTCGCAATCATAGGATTATAGGATTAAAGCTACTGGAAGTCCTTTCAAAAACCAGATCACTTAACTAATTGAATCAGTATATCCAATATGAACATTTCCAGACAAAGATCAAATTACCATATTTAAAGGTAAAGGCAATCAATCGTGCAGAAAATGCAACCCTTAAGCATTTGATGTTAGTGAAACAGGGGAAGAAAGTACCGATTCCGGAGGCGCCGCCGGTGACCAAGGCCGATAGGCCAGGCTTGAGCTCCATGAATCTTCAGGTCTAGTCAACTCTAGAGCTATGTGTGAATCGTCGGTATAAGAATAGGATTTTTGAAGGATCCAACAGTAAGTAGTACGTTCAGTACGTATAAATCATACTCCGTGTATACAGGACATTAGAACATACGACCTCTGAGCTTCTTCTGTTCTATACTTATTTCAATGTTGAGCTTATCCAAATATTAATAATTAATTGAAAATGATTTCCGCTCGTTTGGGAAGACGATAAATAGTACAGATTAAAAAATAAAGGAAAATAAACCCGCGTAGATTGTCTTTAATCTTTTCCATTATGTCAATGTGCAATTTTCGCACGTTATTTGACCAGTAAAGCTATTAGTCCGTATCTATGGTGCACCAATACTATACTCACATGTCGTATTCGATACTCATATCCGTGAACTGATACGTGTATCTAATCTTATAATCCTGATTTCATACTCAACATGACGAAAATTTATTAGCTGCCTAAGCGACCACACGATGCGAAGCATCGATAAAAATGATTTCGAGAGTATGAGAAATATTTGAATACTAAAATTTGTCAATTTGTCGCTTTATAAGCTTTAATTGAAATTAGTCCTGTCATAAGACTTAGATGTAAATGTAAATAGAGAGCCAAAATTATTATTTGAATTTAAATCGAAATATCACTACTTTAGTTTTTTGTCTTATCTTTGAAATTTTATTATAATTGTTAAATTTTGGTACCATTATTATTTTATTTATGAACCTTTGAATTATATATATTTGCAAATTATACCCAATACTATTATTATTATTTATAAATATACCCCCATACCCGTATCCTTCAATTCTTGAAGTTGCCGTATCGCCGTACCCGTATTCGCGTATCGACATGTCGGCGTATCCGTATCCGTGCAACATAGCTCCATATTACTTTTTATGTGGACACTTCATTTGTCCCTCCATTCTCTTAACATGTATCCCTCTCATTTTATGTGTTCTTTAATTTAATGCAAATATTAATAGGGTAAATGAAAATGTAAATATTCAAAAAAATATTACCTCCATCAGACTAATATTGGGATGGAAGGGATGACCCAATTATTAAAAAGTGGATTTATGTGGTTGATAGTAATGGATATAGTAAGAATAAAGTAATAATGATTATGGCCACACAAATTTTACCAAATTTGGTATAAGACAATTTTAGTGGGATTTTCCAAAAAGATAAAATGGGACAATATCGGGACGGAATAAATATTGTAGTTCATATATTATTTCTTCAAAAAGAAATTTTGACACTTATTTTAGGATAGACAAAAAAGGAAAATAGTACATGTTAAATGGAACGGAGGGAGTATTTAATTATTTATGAAACGTCAAATATATACTAATTAGTTTTACAAATTGATTTGATAATTTAAATATTTTAATTTTCATTTTATTTACTTAATTAGGATATGAATTTTTAATTTTATACCTTGATTTAAATTTTGTAACTTTATAAAGATTTTAATATAGTTTTTGAATACGTATTTTATAATTATTATACTTATTCTAATTATAAATAGGGAGAATTTAAGTTACATTGATTGACAAAAAATATTGATTTTGCAAAATAATTTGAGACGGAGGAAATATCTTTAAGGGAGAATAAAACCATTATGTGGTTACTATCAATTTCTCAATTATTCTTAATATAAATTTTGAATATAATATTTTCACACACATTTCAACATATTCAAGTAGGAAAATAATTTATATTTACTTTTGTTGATTATTACACGAAAACATAAAATACAAAGTTTAGTGCTCCGTATTTGATATGTCGAAAACATGAACTACCAAACAAGGTCTGAATATGTATAACACTTTAAAATATGTATAACTTTATTTTTATGGCCTCTTAGATGTACTCTAATATCTAGAGACTATTTAAAATGCTAATAATATTCAGACGTTAGTTCTACATTTGAATGTATATTTAGTTTAATTTTATTTTTGGAATAACGTTTTCAATCTAGTGAAACATAAAATTCAATGAAGGATATGTTTACTTTACAAGCTACTCGTAGTATATAAGCATATTTTATTGAAAAGTGTGGAATGGTTACTGACCCATTGTTTAATAAAAGATGTTTAACAAACGTATGTATTTTACTTTACGAAACACGATGTATTTGTTAAAACATAATTTAACTTTAAAATGTTAAAACATCTTTTACTAATCCGATGTTTAATAGGGCCGGGGTTGGGGTGGGGGTGGCAAGGTGGGGTATGTTTGAGCTAGGTAGGGGTAGGGGACAGGGACTGAGGTAGGAGGTTGTGGGGGTAGGGTAGGGTGTGGGTAGGGTGGGGAAAAGGGGTGGGTGAGAGTAGGGGTATGTGGGTAAGTAGGAGGAGGTTAGGGGAAAGGGGTGGGTGGGGTAGGAGTATGTCGAGTGGGAGTAGGGATAAGCGGTTAGGGGTATGTGGGTAGTAGGGGATTGGAGTTACGGGTTAGGGAAATGTTGAGGTAAGTGTTTTTGTGACTTCAATCTTCCATTATGAGATGCAAAAAAGGGTATACATATCAATATAGAAAAGTTTGCAATGTTAAATAATAAAACATGAGGTGAGGTCTTATTAAGCATATAAGACATAAATTAAAATGTTCTATCTAAATATTTATTTCAAATATTGTTTATATGATGTTAATAAGCTAACTATGAAATTAATATTGAAGTAAAATATCGATAGTCTGTTTTTTTCCTCTTAGAGAAACAAAATCAGCAATATATTTTTCTTTTTAGCGAGGTAGACATAATACTTTATATAGGCTAATTTCATTCTTGAAGAGTCTTGAACTACAACATATTTCAATGTAGGCAACTAAGTTTCATGTTACCACATTTTCTAAAAATAATACTCGTACTCCTTAACAATAACACAATTTAATTTGTTTGGTAATGGATAGTATATTTTGAGAAAATCTAGAGTTCGTTGTAATTATGATGGAACATATGGTTGTTAAACTAGCAGATACAATTGTTACGGTACCTAACATATTTCAACCTTTCTCCCTTTTGGTTTGTTAGGAGTGTCATACGGACTATATATGTTAACAAATCTGTAACCATATGTGTTAGGACTTAGGTGTTTAATACGAAAGTGTGAAGTATCCAAAAATTCGTATGTACCCAACTCATATGTTAGAGCATCTCCAATGATAAAATGTACACGGTGCACACGTGGCATGAGAAATAGCCACATAAATATTAGTAAATAAATTCTTTCTCTCCTTATTTGAATGATTTTATACAGTTTTGGTAAGTTTTTCTCCACACTGTCAAGGAGACCGTCTAGATGTTGACATTGTTGTTGACATTGCAGGGAAAAACTTACCAAAATTGTATAAAATCATTCAAATAAGGAGAGAAATAATTTATTTGCTAATATTTATGTGGCTATCACTCATGCCACATATGCAACGTGGACATTATAACATTGGAGATGCTCTTATAGACATATCTCATATGTATATATTGAGATTTGAATCCAATGAGAAACAATGTTTATCGTGAAAATGAAAGAACACTCACATTTAGGAGTGTCCCCAATTTAGATTCTTACGAATTTTAAAGGAATTTAGAATTCTATCAGAATTTAGGTGTCCTCGATTTGGATTTGGATGGAATATATGGAAATTTTGGTGTCCTCCAACGTTCCTTAGATTTCTATTATTACTTGTTTGATTGATTTTGATAGATTTTTATGGAATTACAAGTACAAAAACATTCTGGGGGAAATCTCACACACTTCCGTCGGATTTTGATGGATTTTAATCCACAGGCCACTTTTTTTTTTTTTTTGCAAATAATCCACAGGCCACTTCGCTAGAATTGTTTTCTGATTTCAAAATCCAAATAAGAAAAAATCGTGTAACTCAACAGCCACATAGATGAAGCCATTACAGAATCAATCTAGCTCCTTCTATTCCAAATCTCTCCAGAGGCATTAGCTACGTATTTTTCGAGCTCCAGTGGTCTCTAAAAATGTAAACTTAGGCAATCTTTGAAGTGGTTCCTTTCAGGGGCGGAGTCAAGGGGGGTCAGGGTGGTCAGCGACTCCGCTGAAAGTTCAAGAATGTAGAGTTCTGAAGTACCTTCAAATTAATATATTATGAGTCCCGTAACTCATTACGAGTAAAAAGTTATGACTTCTAGAAAAACCAACACCATCTTAACATGAAATAAGCAAAATTTGATGTGGGACGTTGATTATATTCCTAAATTTAAAAAAAAAAACAGTTATTCAGTCATTATAATCGAAAAATGCTCATTAAATTATCATTTATCTCAGCTACGTATGAAACATTTTACTCAAGTATTGTATAATAACTATCCATCATTTTGACATTGGTATATAATTAAATTCGGACCCCCTCACACATTTTTCTGGCTCCGCCCCTGGTTCCTTTGTACAAGAAACATGTACTGAACTCGTGAACTGCACACATATACTGTATCTCACATTGCTGAGTGTTAAAAAATATACTCCCTCCGTCCCGCTATTAACTTCTCACTTTCCTTTTTGGGCCGTCCCAAAATCATCTTCTCATTTCCCTAAATGGAAGATTATCCTACATCAAAACAGTGTCAAACAGTGCAAAACAATGCCAAACAGTATCTAAACAATAAAATCAAATTTATTTCGTAAATATGTGTGTAGGTCAAAGTAAGAACTTAATAGAAGGACGGAGGGAGTATAATTGATGAGATAGTGATGGGATTATGGGGAGCTGTGTAATGACAAGCCTTTAAAGGTGAGGGCAGAATTTTCCTTCTCCGATGTGGGTTTTTGTTCAATCCATACTTCGGCCATACATATAGGCATATAGCTTGGAAAATTACCCCTGAAAGTGGGTTGTGGTGGATTTTTTTAATCCATAGACTTTTATAAAAGTCAATTGACTTCTAAATTCATAGATAAGTTTATTAACTTTCAAAAAGTTCATAGACTTTTAAATGCGGGTCGCCATTGCTGGTCGTCAGAACTTTTCAGCTAGCTAGCCGCTACCCATCTGCCTGTCCGCCTCCATCACCGGAGTTCCCCGCCGTCGTCATCAGACTGATTTGCCACCAACAAAATAGTTTTGGTTATGCAAAGGAACTAAGGGCAATTAATTATATTAATTAATTAAATTAGGAGTGAATATGTAATATTTAGTCTTATTTAAAGAAAATGAGACATATGATCATAGTTTAAGAAAAAATGCTACTCCGTATGTTTTAGTCCTAATGTGAGTAATTTCCTCTTTATA